GTTTCGACCGGTCGCTTGTTTACAAAAACCAGAAAAACTAGTGATCAGTGGAACACTAACCTAACATTAGTTTTTAGGAACTTCAAAACTTTCAACTTTCTTAAAATATGGATTTTGTTGAAGGAACAATTATACTGAACTGTATATCAGAAATAATACATTCCTCAAGTTCAAGTGAATCATCCAGTGATGAAGATGATTTGATGCTATTATTGTTGAAAGATAGACAAAAGAGATATAAAGTTATCAATTACTTCTCTACTATATCAAAATACCATGATGACACATTCAAAACTCATTTCAGACTGAGTCGAACTTCCATTGAGGTATATTTTCAAGCTAATTACCAAGGGGGAACAACGATTTGTTTCCTCCTCGCTCATTACATGGAGATTCCACTTTGAACATACAAATGTGTACCTACTTGCATTTTACAGGAATTGATGATTGAAATCAAAACTCCTTATATTATTGTAAGAGGAACAGATCCAGTACCAATATTAAATTCGTTGTTGACCACAATTTGGTTTATTGCTAACCAGGAGTCTTATAGATCTGTGGCAGACCGTTTTGGGTTTAGAAAAGGACATTGCCATTATATTGTCTTAAGGACATGTAAATCAATTTATTTGAAAATACATTTATGGATCAAATGGCCTGCAGCTACAACATGTGTGCAGGAATCCAACTGCCTGCGGGGAGAAAATAGTTTTCCAAATGTGCTTGGTTGTCTTGATGGAACATATATACCTATTCCCCAGCCAAAAAAAGAAGATGCATATTACACTAGAAAAGGTGTGCATGCTTTACAAGCACAACTCACTCGTAATGCCAGATATGAGTTCATTGATGTATTCTCAAGATGGCCAGGCTCATGCCATGATGCTAGAGTATGGAGAAATTCACCTATCAGCCTTTTTGCAGCAACTTTATTGCAAGCAATATAAATTGCACGCAAAATTAAAAACTAGAGAAACTAGTCTTCTTACATTTGCGACATTTTCCAAGACTTTTTCAGAGTTTTCGAACTATTGACGTTGATATTTTAAAATAAACAAGTCAAGCGAAATTAGGTGGAAATTCATTTTGAAAATGGATGAAGGAAAAACACAAGTTTTACTCATGGCAATTACTACTACTGCTGCTCTTGCCACTTACATAAAAAGGCGCATGGAAAACAGGAGGAATAGATCCTGTTGGAACAAACCATGGTTAAATAAAACAATGGGAAACTTAAGAATAACTAATGAATTCAAAGAGTGTAATGACTTGAAAGCTTCTAAAAACTATCTGAGAATGGATGAGCCTACATTTGATAAGTTATTAGTTGAAATTGAGCATCGAATAAAGAAAACTGATACTTTCTTTCGAAACAGTATTTCACCAAAAGAAAAGTTGATAATAACATTGAGATATCCTGCTACTGGTGAAAGTTTCATGTCATTACAATATAACTTCAGAGTATCCAATAGTGCTATATCACTTTTCATTCCTATTGTTTGTGAAGCAATTTATGATGAATTGAAGAAAGATTATTTGAAAGTGAGTACCTATTTTCTTTTATAAATAATATGAGTGATTTTTGTAACTATTTATATTTTATTCAGGTCCCTTCAAGTGCAGCAGAATGGTTGGAAATTGCCAAACAATATGATGAGTTATGGAATATTCCAAACTGCTTGGGGTCACTAGATGGCAAGCACATAGAAATCCATGCTCAGAGAAAAGAAGGATCTGCTTTCTTTAATTACAAAAAGAAACATAGCATAGTATTATTGGCTTTAGTTGATGCACAGTATAAATTCACATACATAAATGTTGGAATGAATGGCAGAGTTTCAGATTGAGGAGTTTACAGGGAGAGTGATTTGAGTAAATCAATATTGAATAATTCCTTGAACTTTCCTGAGAATAGACCACTTTCACTAAGAACTCAACCTGTTCCATTTGTAATTGCAGCAGATGCAGCTTTCCCACTGAGCACTCATATTTTAAAGTCCTACCCATTCAATGAAATGACTAAGGAACGAAGAATTTTCAACTATAGATTGAGTAGTGGTAGAAAATACTTTTGGAATTCTTGCAAATCGATTTAGAGTTCTTTTAAATGTTAATGCTGTAACTCCAGATAAGGTAAAGATTGTTACACAAGCATGTTGTGCTTTGCATAACTTTCTTATTACTGAAATGAAGACAAGATATGCTGGTACAGATCCTGATGAAGAAATCAACAGACAATTTACATTTGTTTATGGTCTGAGTAGTCAAGCTGGAAACAGGCCAAAAGCAGCAGCAATTCAGACAAGAGAGGAATACAATATCTTTTTCAATGGAGTTGGACGAGTAGCATGGCAAGATGATAAAATTTAAACAAATAAATTGTGATTCTTTCAAACTCATTAAATTTTGAATAACAAAACCTAATATGCTGAAAACATCAATTAATGAACCATTCTTGAAGAGCAGAATATTGATTCGACAAAAAACTCAAATAGGAAATGTCCTAGAAGGAAACCATTCTCATAAAAATGGTGTTATAGGAAAATAGTTATGATTGAAAATGCAGAGATAATCTTGAAATGCCCTGTAATTATATTTTCATTTGAGATCAAAGATTAACATTGAAGAAAAGCACTATATATATATAGGTACCTTGTGAATAAATCTACATCTGCATATTGATTACTGTCTTCTTCTTCTGACTTCCCGCTTATTGAAGAGATGGCCTTTGTTGCATTCTCTAATAACTTGGACAGTTGTGAGTCTTCTTGTTTCCGTTTCTTCAAGGCAGGAGTATCTCGTTTCTTATATATAGGAGGTTCTTCTGAATTATTTGAGCATGAACTTTTTGGAGTTTGTGAAACAGAAGATGATGGTCGTTTTTTACTTTGCTCTGGATCATGAGATTCTGGGAGAGAAAATGGGTTTGTAATATCCTCTATTGTCCCATCGAAAATAATTTCAGATTCAACTTCTGACTCCTAAAAATATAATTATTAATAATTGAACCTAATTAAGCAGTAATGTATTAGCTGTTGATACATATAATTTTCGAAATACACACTAGAAATATTTACTTACTGAAACTGTTTCATGCTGTGATTCAATTTCCAAATTAGATTCTCCTTGTATTATGACTTCTGAATCCTCCAAAAATCTCAGCAAGTCAAAACACCATAATGTGGGTTTGTGTACATCATCCGGAGACACTCCACTAGCTTCTGACTTTTTTATTTTGTTGATTTCATTGGTATATTGGGTTCTCAATGTGTGAATTTTACTTTTCCCTATGGCTTCATTGAATGTCATATCTGGATGACATGTATTTAAATTTTGTGTAATCTCAGAATATGCTTTATTTCTTGAATTTCTGTTATGATACTCCTTCGATTTGACTCTGTACAGGGATGGATGGTTTTCATACAACAAAATCAGATTAGTAGTGTTCTCCACATTCCCCTGTTGTTTTTTACTACAAAAAAAGGTTATCATGAGGATTCTCAAGAAAACATGATATAATATGGAATACGTTACCTGGAATTTTTTTTCGCCATTTCCATCACTACACCATACATAAAAATCTCAAAAATAATTTTAGAAGGTATTTTACAACTTACAACAATGATGCTTTATAACCAACCAAAACCCAAAACAAAATTTATGAAATGAAGTATGGTTGATGATTCTTCTTCTTCTTCTACTTTATAGTCGACCATTATACAGAACCACCAACACGATAATTAAGTTGTTAAAATCTAAAATCACTAAAAATATGCAAAGTTGCGCGTGAATAACCTTCAAAATTAGAAACATTTCTATATATTTCAAGCCTGAAAGTTGCAGTGAAAATAGGCCGAAACGCATGCGCAATTATTGTTTAACAAAGGCCAGCAATTCAGTTGCCAGCAATTTCTATGAAAAGGCTGTAATGTAAGAGTAGCTTTATTAGAAGGGAACTTGAAAGCTATCCAGAAATTATTCCACCTAATTGTTATTTATTGGGGGACAGTGCCTATCCATTATCAGATGTAATAATGGTGGGCTTTAAAGACAATGGCCATTTAACACAGAGGCAAAAACTATTCAATAAAAAATTGAGCTCAACAAGAGTTGTTATTGAACAAGCTATTGGAAGATTAAAAGGAAAATTTACGAGATTGAAATATTTGCATGTTACAAGGCTCAGTACTCGGCTCAGTAATGCTAAATATTATATCATGCTTGCATGTATCCTCCATAATATTTCATTACGAGAGAGATTTCACTATGAACATTCAGATGATGAAAATGATGAAGGTGGTGAAGAAGTGGACATTTATAATAGGAATGCAGTGGCAGAACAGAGAAGAAATAATGTGATGAATTTAATTTGCAACTAATTGTTCAACTCATGAGTATATAGGTACCTACCCACTTTTAGAAACAGTTTTAGCATAAATTATGTCTTTGAAATATTCTGATTTGATTTGAGTTCACAGTGTATATCAGAAAATGTTGGGAACAAATGGAAAACTTTTTTATCATCACTCCTCTTTAATTCTAGACAACTTTTTCGAATAACGATTTTTCATATTGTTGGAAATAAAGGTACTTTACTTTTCAAATTGATATACACTTACTGCATCTTTAGTTTTAGAACTTGCAGAACTCAGAATGCAAATTATGGAATGAAATTTTTTTCCTTAAATCAATGATAAAAATGTTTCCCATCTGTTTACAATTTTTTCAGATATTGATGTAAGTACTACAATACAATAAAAATAATTTTCAATATGTTATCGAACTGGGGATTATTCAATTACATAATATTCAGCATTTTGATAAACAGTAATAGATATGAAAAGTGTTTTCTTCCACAACAAAACTGGAATATGTTGAAAATCCAAATATCTATCTATTTCAATTCGAAAACAAATGAGTAATATTCATATAAAATGTTAAATTTCACATTGAAGATCAAGAATTGAAGTCATTTTTTGTAGCTGATGAAATTCAATGATTCATAGATTCTGAGATCTTGCCAGTAATGCTTCAGCTATTTTATTTTCGATTTCTTCCTTCTCCTCCCATCTTTTCTTGGCTTCTTCCTCATCTCTGTTTCCTTTTTTGTTTTTCTGGAACAAATATCTTTTCATAGTCATCTCAGGAATTTTTTTCTTTGGTTTAGCATTCTTATCCACACTATTATTATTATTTGTACTTTCTGCCATCTCAATGTCATCAAGATATTGAGTAGTACTTTCACTGGTACTAGTTTCTTCTGTTTCAAAGGTACTCCCCAAGGAACTTCCTGATAATTCTTCATCAGGCGTTTTGTTTGGTTTATTACCCAATACAGCATTCATTGTATGGTAATATTCCCAAGTTATAGCACTTTCACCAGTTTTACTAGCCTTATCTTTGATTGCTCGGTAAGTTTTCAATAGAGACCTGTATTCGTCATAACAGTTTTTACCTGCTACTTCATAGCCATGTTCTTTCATTGATCGAGCAATTTCATGCCATAGGTAACTTTTTTTCTGTACATTTCGGATTAGTGAATTTTTCATTGGCAGAGAAACGTTAATTCTAATAGTAATTTTGTTTTACTTGATGCCCATGTTTTCACATTTTCCTCGTCTAAGAATTCCGAGGATAATTCCTCTGATTCTTCATTTTCCTTCACTGTTTCCTCAGCATTATGTCGAATGTTGTAGAATCTAGATCATTTGAGAATGTCGTTCGGAATTCTTGGGACCTGGAATTGTTTTTCAGTTGGAAATAGGAAGTCATTAAGAAAAAACGAAGCTTTTGGTGGTAGTTTTGTGATTCAGCAAAATCCATCAAAAGCTGAGCAACTACCATACCACTTATGTTGTCAATACTCACTTTTCATGATATCTAGAGAGGTGTCCACGTCTACTTGGACATCAAATAACTTCCCATTATATTGTAAAGCTACAATGCAGGTACTCATTTTGTCTGATTGTCGGTTTCGAATGTTCGATCTTGGAGAAATTATAGACTTTGAGGTTATAAATTTTATGCTCGAACCGCTTCGACCGTAAAAGAGCCCGGTCTTGGTCGTCAATGAAAAACGCGTTCATTTGGAGACCGGTTACTGCGGTCGTCAATTAAAAACCTTGTGGTCGAAGTGTGGTCTAATAAGTGGTCACAACCGGTCGGCAATCAAAAACTCTCCTGTCGTAAACTCATTATGTTGCATGTCGGTTGTCGGCTAGATTCGGCGGAATCGATTATCGCACAAGTATTTTCAAGCTATCAAAATTTGAGCTGCAAGCTTGTTTCATTTCTTGAGTTCTGTGTACGTCTATTGAGTTAGTTTATGGTGAATACATATTCTAACATTTCTAACCTTACAAACAGTCCTAAACTAGTAACCTAGCTCTCATTTTTGCTTTCTGCTTTGCAAAACAAGTTAATATTTATTGATAAACAATGGGTCTGAACTCCGACCATCACGAAGTTATTTTGAATTTAGCAGAAGAATATCCTCAAAATTATAAGTAATAAATTCAAAGGTCCTCTTGGAAATAACCTCAGCAAGAGTCTTTGGCAACTACTAATCAACCAACTGAATGGATTAGGTTATAAGGTACTGAACGAAAATGAGTATAAAAGGGTCATGTTATTGTATTTTGGATAACTCGTATTTTCACTATATAGAGACCAGTAGACTGGAAATCAGAAACAAAAGCCAAAGCAGCTGAAATTGATAAATCGAAAAGACGTACTGGGGGAGGACAGCCCACTTCCACAGTATTATCCCAACATGAGGAAAGACCATTATCATTAATAGGCATTTCGGCTGTGAGAGGAAATGAAGAAATCCAAGAGTTTGTTGTGGGAGAAGTGGTACTTCCAGAAAAAAAAAACAGGCCCAGCTTTGTGAAAAAAAATGAGTAGGAGCTCAAATAATCCTGTTGGGACCCAACAATTGGGTTCTAATATATCAGAAAAGAGTTTCAATCAAGCTTCCACATCATCTGCTAATTGGGAATCATAAACAGTTTCTCCAACATTTGAATTAGTAGATTTTGTACCATCTGTGGAAAATGATGTTGAAATGACCTTAGATGATCATTCTTATAGCTCTCTGAGAGATGATGCATCTGGTTAACTGTATTCCAGCAGTACAGAAAGAAAAAACAACATTCCTAAAGGAAAAGAAAACATAAAATCTGTTTCTACAAATAGAAGTCAAAGAATTTCAGACATGACCTCTGAAATTAGAAATATGAATGATGAAACATTATCTTTACTGAAAAGTATGGATAATAACCTATAAAATATTAAAATACTAATTCGAATGCAATCAAACATTGAATATGATGAGTGAGTCTTTATTGAAGATAATCAAGGAAAAACTATAATTATAATTTAACTGATGATGGTTCTTCAAAACACAGCAAAATGTGATGATGAAGTAGTTTTTTCACCCATGCCAATAATCAAATGTGATTTTTATGAAATGCGCCTTACATGTACCTGTGACTAGTTGAGTTTTGTTCTTAAAATGTTTAATTAGAAGTTTATTTTCAGTTTTATTATTAACTAGAATTTATGTTATGACTCAGGTTTCATTCAATTAAACAAGTTTCTATGTTTGTAGTCTTCATTAGAATTTATTAATTGAAATATCTCTCAATCAACTGCCTTCTTACTTCAAACCCTCTCTGATCATTATTCAAATTATTAACAATATCAACATCCACTTCTACTTCATTATCTACTGGAGGATCTGGTAAATCAAAATTGTCAAGCAGTCTCCCTCCTACACATATATTATGCAGAGTTACACATTCATTGACAATTTTCCCAACAAAACCAGGATTGTATCTCAAATTTCTATCACCTGAAAGACAACGAAACCTAGCTTTCAAGACACCATTGCATCGCTCTATGCAATTTCTTGCTCTAACATGCCTAACTGTATAACAGAATTCTCATGTACCAGGAACTGCATTCAAAATTGGGGTTAAAAGATATGCTTTCAAGGGATATCCAGAATCACCCAATAGCCAGGTATTCCTTTCTCCTAAAATTAGGATTTCTAATGAATTCACAATTGCTGTCATTTGAATATTTGATAATTCACCTTCATCAAACCTCCTTTCTAATTCATCTGCTATCATAGATTGCCTGAAGATGTAGGAGTCATGAGTAACGTGACCAGAAGTCCCGTTTTGAACGGGACTGTCCCTTGTTATGATTACGATTCCCGGTGTCCACGGAATGAACTACGGGACGCAAAATTGTCACGTTTTCAGAAATCGCGCAAAATTTTCAGTAGTAAAGTAGTCGAGTAGTGTGCGAGAGCGACACCGGAATATCAAGAAATACTCGGCTTCAGCAAAACCATGTGTCTTGCTCTTATGCCTGCCTTGGAAAGGGTTTTGAAAATTTATCAGCCATTGAAAAAAAAATTTTTCAGTATTGAAAAATGTCCCAAGATCCCACATCCGAATTGTGGCTTTATTTTTTGCACGGTCAGTCAGCAAGTTTTTATCAAGCTGTATTGAAACTTGAATCTCTGACTGTATCGGTAATTGATGTTGCCAAAGAAATCAATCGACTAAACGACAATTTGAGTCAGAAAGAGACCAATCAGTTTCTTCAATTCTCGGTCCGTCAATTGATTGTGAAATCGAAAGATAATGGTACTGATATAGATGAAAAGTTTGTGAAATGGACGGCCATAGAATTTCATAAAACGAGCCGTGAATATCTGGAGCAGTGGACTTTGTTACCAAAGAAATTAGTCATTTGTGGCACCTGCATACCTTGCATTTACATTCAGAATATTCAAGTCATAGTCAAATACCTGAAATCAAAAATATGTACTGTAATTGTTGGTAACATTTGGATGAAAATGTATTTACAAGTTGTACCTACGTTTTTTGAGTGATACCCTTTTCTATTTACATAATTATGTTCTTCTTCTTCCAGGAAATCTTGTTTTTCTCATAAATTTTGCTTTTATCTGGTTTATGTGCTGCCTCTCAGTTGGGAAAATTATCCAATGCTGTGACAGATTGTCAACTATAAGATTTGTAACCTGTTTAACACATTTGGATACAAACTGCTGAGATGCTGGACATGAATGACACTGGCCAATGGTTCTTTGATAAGAGCCAACTGCATACAAATATAATGTCATTAGAATCCTTTGTGTAGGTTCTATGGATAGTTCACTCAAAGTTCCCATTTGAGGGACCAAAGCTGGGAATTTTATATGATAATATATATGTTTATTAATACAAAAATTCCTAATATGAAGGTAAGATGAAAAAAATAACAAATGACAAAGTATATGAGTAGTAATTTCGATCATTTTGATCTATATTGTATTAAATAAACAACCAAACCCATTAAACCTCAGCAGGTAGTCTTGGGATGTATGAAAAAAAAAATTGAGTCTACTAGTATATGCCCCGAGCCATGATTATATATGTACGTTCCTACATTTCTATGATACTAGCTACAATGTCAATGTCTAGGTCCAGCAAGTATACTTTGAATTATTTGTTGATATATTCGATTGAATTGATTTCAAGAATATACATTTTATAAGTTTCTGGTGAATAGTTGAAAATCCTATTAGCTACGTATTGAAAATTTTGCTGACCTAAGGACTATTTGGCTGCATCTGTTGTCACATAGTGGTTCGATTTTGTTCTTGTTAGATAGGGATGATTAATTATTCTCTGTAATGTATATTTGTTTTTATACAAATAAATGATCATACTGAACATGTATAATTTTCTCAAATGCATTATTTTTGCATCAGTGGATGTACATTTTGAGGAGTAGGTCATTGGTTTTACAAGCATTACTTTTAGAATTTTCTTCTGTAGTATATCTAGTTTCTGCATATGTGTATAATATGTATCGCCCCAGCTAAGTATTGCGTACTGTAAACTGGATTCGACGAGACCAAAATATACAACTCTCAAATATCTAATATTTATAAGTTTATATAACTGTTTGAATTTGAACAATATTGTTCTCAATGCATTAGTTACATTACCAATATGTTTATCCCATCTGAGATTTGGGTCTATGGTAACTCCAAGATATTTAACACTATTTGCTCTCTTCATGGAGATAATTTCATTCTGGCTTTGGATATCCAGAGTCTGGAAGTTTGGCAGTGAGGATTTATAACTTGCAAAAGGTAAAAAAATTGTTTTCTCAAAATTCACTGTTGATACATTGTGATTGAACCAATCGATAATTCGCTCCAAATCCCTTTCCGTCTTTAATTTCAGATCTGACCAAGTCGGCGCTGTATATAGAATCGCAGTATCGTCTGCGAAACTATATATTTTCCCTTTGATATTCAAAGTAAGAAGGTTATTGACATAATATATCGAAAACAATAGTGGCCCTAATACCGTGCCTTGTGGAACTCCACAAGTCACTTTCTTTTCAGTGCCGAGTGCATTTCCGATTCTTACTATCTGTGTCCTAGCATTCAAAT